AAACTGAAAAAATTCATGGTATTTTTTGGATTTAAAAAAAAAAAAGAAGCATTAATTAAGTAGCAAGTTAAACGATTAATCAGTTAACTTGTTCATCTGTTAAATGTTTTTTTTTTGTTTTTTTTTTTTATGAATGAGAGCATTTGCTTTGAAAATTGTAGTTTTGTAGCTCCTGTTGGTCCTTGACCTGCAGGCAACAGTATTTTCTTTTTAACATTACATAAAGAAATAACCATAGTAAACAAAAAAAACAAACAAAAAAACAATACAATCTCCATTCCAGAGAACGTTTCTTGATTATACGTATAACAAAACTTTAAACATCATTTTTGATAAATTGATCAAAAAGAGATTGACACACAATTCCTGCTGAAAAAAATCCCCGTATTGTAGCAATAAATAAATAAATATATTCAGGTTGTGTTACCATGACATTTCTATAATTAATTAAATATCATTGTATATAATAATTAACAATGTTTATTTAAGAAATGTTAATTAGCCTGAAGTATTACCATATTTAACCCCCACCCTGATGGCTCAACACTAAGTCTGAAGGCTTATAACGCTAAAAATTGGTTTTCGATACCCGTGGTGGGCTCAGCACTGATAGCTCATTGTGTAGCTTTGTGCTTAATGACAAACAAACAAACTTATCAAATTTAGAAATGATACTTACTTGGTGTGGTCATTCCATTTGTAATTTATTAATAAATTCATTTAAATCTTCATAACAAAACCCGTTTTTATCACTATTTTATTACCCATGTGTGAAACTCTTATATACACTTCCTGTGCGTTTATGTGTATTTTAGCGTAAACCTATACAATGGGCTATCTGAACTTTGTCCACCGCAGAGAATCGAGCCCCAGATATTTATTATCATAATGGAGTCGCGGATTTCAGCATTGTAAGTCTGTAAACTTATGGCTGACCCACCGGAGGATTATACATTTGCTACTGATATTTATCATTGTAAAATATGTCCTACACACCCAATTAAAGATTAGATAGTATATTGTACTTAGGACACCTTTAAAAGAAATTTGAAAAAAATCAGTGATTATTTTAATCGGCATTGTCATTTTTATTACTACACTTCTTGTCGATATAAATTGCAGGAAATGGAAGTGTCTCTTGATCCATCAAGGTGTCCTGAGTTCAAACCTCTCCAAAAATTAGAAAACTACTCATTAAACCGCCTTATTCCTCTGAATATTTTCCAACTCTTTGCTTTTATTGTCTCTGCAGAAAAGAAGGTTAAGAGGTGATTTTATTACAGTTTGAAATATTATTCGGGGAATCGATAGGATAAACGTTTCTGATTTCTCTGTTTTAAAGCTTTAGAATTTGTATTTTATATTATGGCAAAGCCATTAAGTCTATTTGCCGCCGTCCCTCGTTTTGAACTACTGAACAGATGGAAGGCAGCCAGTGAACAACATCCTACCACCCACCATCCATGCTAAAGGATTAACTGTCACTCTTATAATGTACCCACAGGGGGTGAGGGGGTACATTTTTACTATACTCAAGAATGGGTGACCAAGGACAGCCTTGAAGGACAAAATGGTCCCTTGTTGTTCATATGTTATGCTATTGAAATTGCATTGAAGATTTAAAAGCAATTCAATTTTATCAGAAGATAAAGGTTTGCTCTGGCCTTATAACGCAGAATAAAAATATGTAGCAACATCGTTGTTTAATCGTCTAAAAATACTTTTAATATTGGGGTTAATAAAATTATTTTATTCCCTTGAAAACATATTATTATTGGCATATTTATATACAGAGGGTACAAAATATTATGGTTTACTTTTACCATATTGTTTTTGAAAGCTATATTTTTTTCATTTGATGTGTTTTTTTTAGAGCAAAGCCACACTGGGCTATTTGCTGTGTCCACCGAGTGGAATCAAACCACGGATTTTAGTATTGTTTGTCCGTAGACTTACCGCTGTTTCATCCAAGGACATTTTCATGTGAAATTACTTAATATTTTAATTAACATAACGAGTTCAGTGAAACGTTCCATAAACAATAGCCATTATTTCAGTTAATTTTAGTTTCAAAAAATTCATATTATAATATGTTTCAATATTAGGTTATCTTAGACCAAAATAGTTATGAATATCAAATTCTCGTATATTTACAGTTTAATCATGAAACAAATATAAAATTCACTGGTAAATCTTATAGTCAAACAACTAACAAAAGTACCTTCCAGTTTCATTCCCATTTTCAAACATTTGTTAAATCGACAAGCTGGACATTTCTTCCTGGTGTTTATTGCAACATGACAATTGGCCCCTCTAAGACAAACATAGTTTTTCTTGTTCTGCACTGTTCTCTTGAAGAAGCCTTTACAGCTTTCACAAGAGAAGATACCATAGTGAAACCCAGATATACGATCTCCACAAATGGGGCAAGGTCCATTGAGAAGTTGTTGGCGTGATATACCACCTGAATAGCCCAGAGGACCTTCCGATATGTCTTTCATTAAAGGCACTTGATGGTCATCATTACTGCGGTTCACATACCATTGATGAGGTGGTCCAACAATTTCACTAGTATTGGATTCATCTGAAGCACTAGATGCTAAAGAGGCTCTTGAAACTGTTATAGAATACAATGTTAGGTAATTATAAATATAAAAAAAAAATTTCATTTAACTACATGGTTATCAATAACTGTTCATAAACGTAATTACTTCTCAGGAACTTTGAACTTATCCAAATCTAATAACTCTCTACAGAATAAATGGACTAAAAGTACTTACTGTTATACCTCAATACACAAGAAACCTAAAAACTACAACTGAATCAACAGTGGAGAGAGAATCTTCACTGTTAGTGACATTTTTTGCTGTAATGCAAATAACTTACGACATCTGGCCACCTTAGAAACGGCAATGTTTATTTGAATTACACATTATGTGCACGTGGGCTAAATGGGTAAGTTAAAGACTCTTAAAATTCAGTTATAGCTGTCCCTAACTTTTAAATTTTGAACTACTAACCAAAGAAAGGGCAGTTAAACAGTAGCACCCACTGCCACAATAATTTTATCCAACTCTTTGAACGAATAACAGGGTTAATTATCACTTTTACAATGTACCCACAGCAGAAAGGCAAAGGTTGTTCACCGACATCACCTCTTAAACTTTGCACCCCTTATTCTACAACACAACACTAAAATATTATGTTAGTTTGAACTATACAAATTAAATAACAATATAAAATAATCTCTATAAATGACCAATAATAAAATAATGATAATTATAAATGTGATAGTCAATCCCGCTCTTTGTATAAAATTATCACCACATTAGGTGATGGATGCCGCTTATTGTTGCCCTCCTTCCGATTAGTGAGGATAGCTATACCTGAATCTTATTTGTATGGGTCTTTTTGACTTGAGAGTTTAGTAGATGTGATGCATAAGGTGCTATTTACTTTGAATATACAAAAGAGCTCCGATGATTTCCTATGTTTACCTATACGTTAGACCTGGGTATAATTATAATAATTCATGTATTTGACATCTAACTTTGCGATGTTTTGCCATAGTATTAAAGTCTTCAAGTAACAGAAAAATACTAAATTATCAGGCTAGCTGAAGTATTGTTGGAACGTTTTATACAATTAAACAATTATTTATGCAACAGATGATTATAATTTTGTTTGTTTTAGAGCAAAGCCGCATTAAGCTATCTGTTATAATACATCCGCGGCGTAAAAGTGCAGAACGCGATTTTTATTTATGTGTTTATTATTATTATTATTTTTTTGGAAATAAGGGAACGCGACCATTGGGCCTGTAGATCTACAGTTAGGTATGCTAACCGTTGGGGCAACCTATAATGGCCTATGCAAATAACAAAAACAATCAACCCTAGCACATTGATTACAACAACAACCATAAATTTGTAGCTAAACAAAACATAAATTAGGCAGTTATAATCTTATATTTTTTAAAGATTACAAACTAAGCGCCATCAGAAACAAAAATCAAAACACTAAATACCGAGGCAGAAGAAGTATTATTCTTCAACAGTAGTACTAAAATTCTAAGCAAAATATCCAAGTAATCATATACTAATAAAGCACAGAAACTGTAGCGCAGAAATTTGTAATGTACTATTCCTACTCTGCTTCTTGTGTGGAACAAAATTTTAGTTTTTATACTGAGAAACTAAAGAAAGTTTTCAACATCAGAACCAAAACACCGTCAACTCAAAAAGCAGGGCAGAAGCAGCACATTACAAATATTTCAAGTCTACAATGACCACGCTGTCTAAAATACCAACGATACAACACGTTCAATTTATAATACTTCTGCTTGAAAAGAATAAAAAATCACCCTATTTAAGATTTTTAAGAATCAAGTAGGCTCCGACAAAATTTTAATTTGAGTTTGGTCACAATATAATGATTTTAATATAATAGTATTAAAGTCCAAAGGTGATCACTGTAGCTGTTATGAATTCATTATTTTTGGTAATTTTAGCGCTACTTGATATGATATTTGATGAAGTTTTATTTGCGATTAGATTAAAAAACTGTAAAAGTACAGTTTGGCCTTTACCTGTTGATGTGATTTCCATACTGGAGCGATGAGGAAATGATGAAGCTTCAGAAGTTTGGTTAAAAAACGCATCTCTCTGAGTGTATTGGGAAGTCTCCTGTCGATTGGAATGGTGAAACGTTGGAGATGGAGAAACATCAAATGGAATGGGTCTGGAAAGCATGGCTTCTTTCCTTTGAGCAGAATTTGGACTTGCTGAAAAACTGATACTTCCATCTGGGTAATGATGTCTTCTGCGGTTGGGACTTTGATTCGGCGAGTAGAAAGATTTCTCAGTTTTTTTTTGACTGTCCTAAATATTTGTGAAGTATCAATATATATATATATTTAATATACATTATGTATTGTTGTCTTTCTAATCATAAAAAGTTAAAGAAGCGTTCCTATACATGTGTACTAAAATAAAATATAAGTGTTTTGTGAATTTAGTATAGGTTTATCATCTCGCAACAACAAAAAGTTCTATGCGTATTTCAAGAATTAATATTATGCTAAAAAGATATTCAATTGGGAAAATTCTTCCGTAGGTGGAGTCATGAAAGCTGAAATGGATATATCCAGATAGAATAGTTCGATTACTGTCTATCCATTACGATGTTAGCGACGGGGTGCAAGAGGACCGTGAGGGGGCAGGTGCCGGGAAACCTTATAAGTGCAGTGAGTGTTGGTATAATACCCAGAGCCAAGTGCATAACATTTATCATGAAAGCAAAAACATTGATTCAATTTTAAACTTAAATCGTTTCTGTTATATCACCAACGTTTTTGATAATAATAATAATAAAAAAAAACATTTTAATCAACGAAGACTCTAAACTAAGAAATCAACAAATATTTTTTCCAGTTTTATTGTCTATGCATTTTATGTGTGCGTGTTCTTATAGGAAAGCCACATCGGGTAATCTGCTGTGTTCACCGAGGGGAATCGAACCCCTGACATTTCATTTTATATCTTCAGTACATAGACTAACAACGATATTAGGTTATACTTTTCTTGCTAAGCAACATGACGTAAAAGTCATTGTTGGAACGTAGTGTTACCAAAACGCCCTGGCTTTTCTATGTATTAGAAGTTGTTAGTCTAACTGATTTTTACCAATAATTATTCTATGAATACCCTTGAATTCATTTCATGAATGATATTAATTTTGATTGGCTCAAAAAGGAACTTATCAACGTTTGACTGCTTTGACGGCACTTTTCAAAATTTGCAAAATTTATTTATTTCAGTTAGCTATGAAACGTGAGGTTATGATATACTGTAAGGAGGGGGTGGTAGTACTTGCTTCGTCATTTTTGACGGGCTATACGCTACTTTCATTATAATCGGTAGTCCATTATTTATTACGTCAACGGGAAACGGATACAATTTTGTAGTTTACTATAATCGTCTTTTAAAAAGCTCTATTAACTATAAAAACCATTATCAAACTTATAAGACACTAATCATCCATCTCACCTGTTGTAGGCTATTTCTCTGGGAATGGGCAGAGGTGTCGGTGATATCCTGAACTGGCTGGCAACTGAGCACTGGACTTTTTATGTTGATATATCCAGATGAGGAAAGGCCACTAACATGCCTGCTTAACAATGGACTTTGTCCAGGGGACTGGGATGATCTGGAGCTGCAATTACTGGTTAGACTTACATAAACTGGACTAGGACTTTGGCTGTAAGGCTCAACTGCATAATCAGTCACATTATGAGCTTGAAGAGGAGTATTATAACAATGAGTTGGATGAGAGTTTCCTTCTGGAGATTACAAAAATAGATGAACCCATAACACTTCTGCTTATCAATCACAAGAATACCATATTTTATAGTAGGGAGAGGATAACTTAAATGTCTTCGTTATGTATAAAAGTTGTTTCTTAATCTAAAAAAAATTTTTGTTTTGGAATTTCGTGCAAAGCTGCACAAGGACTATCTGCACCAGCTGTTGTTAAATTGGTAGACTAGATGAAAGGTAGATAATGGGCAGCACTCACTACGAACTCTTGGGCTACTTTAATCGAATAGTAGAGTTTGTCTGTCCTTGTTGTAGTGCACTCAGAGCTCCAGATTGTGGAGCAAAACTTTGCCGTAACGGGACACGAACCGTAGACCCTCGTAGGCACAGTTCAGTATGTTACAAAAAAGTGGAAATTACTTTCAAATATCTTGTTTAGTTCCCCAAAACCATGTTTTGAAACATTATTTATAATTTTCACCTTATGTAACAATGATAGAATGAAAAACAAGTTTGATATTATAGTATATATTTGTAATTTAAAAACAAATATGCTTTACCATAATATCATTCTATCAATTTAGTATACAATTTAAATAATATTATCGTTTTTTTAGGAATGCTAACAAACTAACCTTTAAGTAGAGCATGCATCGTTATTTTTCTTAACTCTCTTATTTAACTTGAATATTTTTTGTCACTATCTTAATTATAAAATGTTCACATACGTATAAAAGTTAATAAATAACTGATTGACACATTTATGTTAATTAACAATCACATGGCTAGGCTACTCCACTCGTAACCTGCGGGTTGCAGGTTAGAACCACATCATAGAACATAATCGCCCTTTCAACCGTGGGGCGTTATAATGTGACAGTCAATCGCACTATTCGTTGGTAAACGAGTAGCCCAAGAGTTGACGGTGGGTTTAATCTCTTACTGCCACATTAGAGACGACTGGTGCAGATAGCCTCCGAGAACCTTTTTGCCAAAATCAATAAAGAAAACACTCACACAAATATTTAATCACTATAACAATAAGAAGAAGACATTACAAGTTTTCAAAACCAGCACAAATCTGGCCAAAATATTACAAGAAATAAAAACAAATAGTTATGGTTGATAAAAACAACAACTGGGAATCATTGAACCACAGGTAGGCAACATTTCACTTGACTTTAATCACGTATCACAAAGCCCTCTTGTGATGTATTTTACATGTTTATTATTTTTGGCTATTTTTAAAAGATTATGTATACATATCTAAATCATAAAGAACTAACGTTATTACAAAGATAACCCTTAATGAAATCGTATGCCTTTCATTCACACCAAAGCATCAGTAGACACTTACTTCTTATTTCGTTTTCAGAGTAACATTATTCAAGTATTGAGATACTGCCTTAGTTTATGGGTCGTGGGTCTAACAACATGTGCGCATAAACACTGCGTCGGTTACATAACCGGTTTAGTGCTTGTGCTTCGGTATCCGAGTCCTGTGATACATACCGCTCAGGCTCGTTAATGCATTGTCTTGTGTTATACATGTTATATTGACAGTTAGCCAGTTACTAATAAATCCATAAGGTTTTTAATTACGTCTATCAAGTTAACTATAGAGTTAAGTTCAATACCATTAGATGTATACACAAGAGTCTAAACTTGTTATATGCAAATATTCTAACCAAACTTCTCCGCTACTTCTCCATATGAGTAGATCATTATTCATTTGTTTTAATTTAGTACATAGTCCTATATTTTGTTCTAAGTTCTCAGCAAATAGAATGTGAAAACTTTTAACTATAATTTCATCTTACCCTTAGGAACTAGCCCACGTATTATTATTTTTTTTTTACAAATAGCCAGTTTGTTTGATAAGTTTCACACTCTCTCTGGTGTGTTTGTCATTGTCTAGACAAAAGTGTTGTAAACCTTGGTTTCACTTTCACTAGGACTAATTAATGATGTTTGGGAAATATGTCCTCTGGATCTGGTGAAGCTTAGAATTGAACACAAATCAAGCACTGTTATTTCTGCAACTTTTGATTTGGTGATCATTTTATGGAGATAATCTTTTACACAACATTGAAGCAACTCCAGAGAGCCAGCGTTAAATATAAAAAGCAAGTTTTCAGTTATATTTGTCTATTTTATTTGTGGCCAATTCAGGCTTGCTTATACGTCACTTTGCAAATATAAGGTCTCCTGTTATTGTGATATTAATTAATTTACCAGTTAGTTTTTAAACGTACTTTGAAATGCCACAGACTACATTGTTAACTTACAATTCTGGAGAGAGTTAGAGATACCACTGGAGGATGAAGTCTGCAAGTCACAGATATTTCGCCATCAAGTAGGATATAGGATAGCATACGTTTAGAGAAAGATAAGGACCCCGGTTACAGTTGTGAGACCTCTTGAGTGGGTTGTTGAAATTATCATTTCAAGATCAACTGAAACAACCAGATGAGTATTTTCAATGTCATGTCATTCTGCCAATCAAGAATGAGAGCCATCTGATAGTCAACTAAAGAGCTGCAGGTCTAATGTTCAAGAAAATAAACAAATCCGCCCTCTAAGATTTAAAGAGACAGCTTGGATTACTTCAAAGTTTAAATGAATGGGCCCCATAGGAACTTAGCTTCTTATGTTGATGATTTACGACACCAACAAGGGGAAATTTACCGCATATAATTGGCAGATTATAGGAAATCGTCGTTGACAAGTTTATTGCAAGCCTTCTAAGTGAACCCATGCATTGTCTCATGGGTGTCGACAACAGTTCACTTCTGACAGAAGCGGTTTTTGTGACAAAATAGTGCGAGATGATCACGCCACACAAGCTGACAGAAAGACGAAACTCAACAGATTTAGCTTCAGTAGCTCAATGCAGGCTAGACAGTGCTCCAGGATGCTACCACTGCACAAGGCTTGAGCTCAATCTACAGCTCTATTGCGGCAAATACTGCCAAGTGTTGTGTTTTGCCACGTTGGTTACCAGCAAGAGGCCAAGTATATTTAGACCATGCTACAATGGCAGCAGCCAGATCATCATATATTACAATCTGATTAAGTGGGACAGAGCATCTGCTTCAACGGCAAATAACCAATGACAAGCAATATTTGCTGCTATAGCTGGTTTAAAATAGAAGAACTTAAGTTGATTCTGACCATCAGCTTATGTTGGCAAAGCACCGTGCTTATGTACAAAAGAGTAGTGGCCAGCTCAGTTCATCTAGGATTAGGTGTAATTTGATTTGTGTCTGTGAACGTCCATAAATCTGAAATTACGTTTTTGGTAGACATTGGTGTTGGCGGGACTGTATTGAGCCTGGTAGTATATCACGTATTACTTACTAGTAAAGCCACCACACTGGTGAGCTGATGCTGACTTTGTTCAGATTCAATATAGGCTTGAGATAAGCAGATAATTATGGTTCAATTTTGTTATCAACTCAGTTTTTCTCATAGAATGAAAGTAGATGCCTCTAATCTTGGTTTGATACTGGTACCTTGGAGATGGATCTCTTACAGAAGCTGTCAGTCAACGTGGCCTATGTTATATGATAGTTTGGTGGAATCATTCATAGCTGATCTGTCGAATCACAGAAACAGTTGATGATATGAGTGTGTGTGTGTATATATATATATATATATATATATATATATATATATATATATACTATACTACTAACTAAGTAGTGTAGTCTAGACTATACGTACTTAGGTTGT